GCAGCCAAGTCAAAAGTAATGCAGCTGGGGAAAAAGAAGGCATATAATATTAAGCCCTGAAAGACTGAATACGCGAGCAGTGGTGCAGAAACGGACTTGAGCATTGTATTTTGACTCTCTTAATATGAGTTTCTGATACAGTGCCCTGTTCAAAGACGTGAATGTTGATAAATTCAAATGGCAACATGCAGAAAAAGAGGGAGATGGTCAGGCTTTTTAAATGTGCTCCAGTACACTTGTGCACAGGTGGGAGCTCAAAGGAAGGAACTGAAAATAATCATAGGATTAAAAACAAAGAAACCAACAACTGCCTGGGTTCAGAAGCTCTGTCTTTCCGTTTAGCAGCACAGAGGTTGAGAGGTGTCATGTCTATATAAAAATATCTATATATAAATAGCTACATACTGCATATGCAAATATATATACAGATGTAGAAGAGATCTGGTGGTTTAATGAGAACCAGTGAGGAATCAGGCAGATTCAACCTTGAAATCAGAAGCAGTGCTGTAGTTAAAGTAGTAAAACTTTAGGAGAAGAGAGCTGGTGGAATCATTTATAATCTTGTAAGATAAAATTAGATATTATTTTTTGTAAGATGTACTTTAGTCAAACTCCTGGGAACAATTCAATGGGTTATATATAGAGATTATAGCTGAGTGATTGCAGTAGTCACTTCAGGCTCTAAAATACATAAATCCATAAACAATATTAAAAAAACCCACATATGCAGGTACATTTCAAAAGGACAAGTGCAGTGTCTGTTCCAGGGGCTGTTATTGTCTCCCAATTAGCATGGCTTCATGTTATGGCTTAATTACATTTTATTGTTACTGTATGTTGTTAGTATGCACGGTAGTTTAAGCATTGTGTAAGCATTGATACTTGGTTTCAATTTCATATATACATGGGGTTTATTTGGATGGTTCCGCATACTGGGAAGAGAAGAACAGTTGTTCCCTGGGAGCTAATTGGGTAGTCATTTACCCTGGTTTTATATAGCTAATATATTAAGCTTCCCTCCGTGTGTTTGTTTTCGTTTCAGGCTCCATTCAAGAAAACTGTTACTGATAAAAATCTTTGTTTCAAACAGCACAGAGTAGGAGCGCTGAGCTGAAATTGAACTTGTGAAGTGTTTCTGTTACAGCATCGTCGTTTTTATAGTGCTCTGGTGAGGGACAAAGAGAGGACTTCTAAAAACGTTTATTCTTCACTTCAGATTTAAGCCTCTTAGTTCTCTCTTTTCTAAAAGTTCCTTCAAATATAAATGTGGTGATAAAATCAGAGCTTTCTCAAAGTTTACTTTTAACTGTATGTTCATAGTGTTGTAGCTCTGCATTGCCGGGTACCAGTCATCGGATCTGTTCATAACTCGCAGCTCATTCTTTGAGGGGGTATCAGACCAGCCTTCCCTATCTTCTCATTTGTTCTTAATGAACTGACATTGACTTGTAATTGCCTGGAAAAATTTTTGTCTTGCTTCTGGTCAGAGTTGTGCCTGACTGACACACTGATGTGGAGCTTAGAGGTTTCTGGGCATCTCCAATTTAAAAATCTGTCATTTTGGCATTTCCAACTTGATCTTGGAAATTTTAGATTCAATGCCAATGGATAGATTTCACTAATTTGATAAATTGGTTTCTGGCACTTGGGTGTCCAAATTCTGCATAGCACGGGAGCAGTGATGCACTTTTCTACACTCAGTTTGGTGTGTGCTCCTGAAAGGGACGGTCATGGAGGACAGCGGGCAGATGTCTTTGAGAACGTAATAAGGGAGATCTGTCATGGTACAACTTTCTAGAATATTAGAGTTCTGGTTTGCTTTACAAAAATATCATCTGGGCTTGGAGACATTCCTAATCGGTGGAAGACGGAAGTCAGTATTGATCAATAGTCATTTGCGTTGGCTATGGGAGAGGAATCATCAGGGACTGTATGCGCAGGCTGGCAGGGATATCCTTTGGCTTGATGATCCAACTGAGGTCAGAAGAGAAATGATTCAGCTATCCAGCTGAAGGAGTTTTGGCATGCTGCTTGGGCCCAGGGATAAATACTAAATAGCTACCTTATGCCTATCTGAGAAAAATTACTCTTTCCAGATTTGATGTAGCGTATTCCCATCTTTGTGTGGTGGCTGTCAAAGTCTCCAACATACAGCTGGGCAGTTCATGCATGGAAGAACTTGTTGCCTTCAGTTCTCCCTTAGAGGCTTATAAACATTAGCCACCCAGAGGCTACTGATTTAGATAAGCATGCTATAAATTGACACTGCATGTAAATGAGCTATCATGCTGTGTTGTGGTGATTAATGTAACTGTAATGGCACATATTATCTTTTAAAATTATGATAACCTGGGGAAATCACTTAAAGATAACCTGTTCTGTCTGTTCTTCTCAGGAGAGTATCTGCTTTTTGGCTCCATATAGCTTATCTTTACTCCTAATGCAAAAAAGAAAATTAAAGAGAGAAAACTGTATACTAGGACCATATTCTAACTTGCATTGCATTTACTCCTGCCTGTTAATTTTCTTATGCAAAAAAACCTGCTTTTGAGTTGCCTTGAGACTGGCCTTTTTTTTAATAGGCACTCTCCAGAAATCATATGGTTTTGTTACAAGCTCAGGATTCAGGTGTCAGTGCTGACACTTAACTAATTGTTGCTGAAGCCTTCATACCTCTGTCATGCTGTTAAGGCCCTGGCACTAACTGCTTGAGGCTTGGTTTGATTTAATTTAAATCTTAGAGGAATTTGCCTTAGTTTAGCTTTTCATTCTGAAAGTATGTACTTTTCCTTGCAGGTTTTTCTTGTGCCATAATTCAATATTTCTTCCAGTTTCTAAACACAACAGCTGATGAACGCTTATGTTTTTTCTGATCTGTTGGTACAAGTTTCATTAATTTATGTATGGTTAAATTTGCAGAAAAATTTCTTTCTTGTTTCAAATGAAGTTTAAAGCAGAAAAAAAAAAAAAGCTGCGGAATGCCTTTGGTTTTGCTAGTTCCCTATTTTGGTCCAAATCCTAAGCAAGCTGGGAGTTTTGAATGTGAAGCATTAACCAAAAATGCTTCAGTAAGTATTGCAGAATCCCAGATGTTTGGATCCAAGGCACCAATAGGTACATTTCCCTCTTTATAGTTCGGAATCCTTTGGGCTGTCTGCCCTCTTTTGCCCTGTGCTCTAACACAGAAACAACCTTGTCCTACTAATTCGGACTGCTTCACTCCTCTCCCTGCTTTTTCATATCAGGGATAGTAGAAGGAGGACCTCAGGATTCCTTCAGGAAAGAAAAAGTATAACACGTGTGTATTCCTGGAATAGTTATTTGACTTCTCCTCATGAGACTAGAAAAGTCTTTTCCTGGAGGGGCTCTTGAGGGAAGTGAA